AGACCAGCAGGAAGCTCGTAGAGGCACGGTGCACCTGACCGGGAGCAACCTCCAAACCTTCTGGAACTCCTAGTCGGATCGCGGAGTTGTTGCAGTCCGGTAAAACTTTGTCAAGGGAGCTCTCAGTCCCAGAGTCACCTCTCAGACTGCTATTTGGAGGGGTAATAAAGGAGGTGGTGAGGCATCAAAAGACTTGAAAGAGATCCATGTACTAACAGAAAGCTCCATCATTTTAGGTGACCTGGATTTCCCACCCAGCGCTGTGGAACTCTGCGTCACATCAGAGGATGCTCGTTACCCATCAAAACTTTACTTCCAGCTAACTCTGGCTAGACACCTCCGATTTGAATGCTTTATGGACAGAGTGGGTGCTCAGTAGAGAGCTATCTGGGGACAACATTTGTATTGGGATGTGGTCATGGAAAATCAGTTTTTTTTTGGTTAAAATGGTTGATAGGGGCCTCTAATTAAATTATATGGTCACGTACGGACACTCAGACGCTAGGTTTGGCACAATATGTATTGTTCTCCTGGGAACCTCCTGTTGAAATCCCAGGTATAACCAGTTCTATTTCACCCTACACTAAGTGTCAGCTTGTGAATCTGCTATAACAGATATAAACACTATACTATGCTCTCTGAGCTATAATCACTGAGGGAAAGTGTCGGGTCCCCTGCGAGTAGGACGCCACAAAGTCCTTTAAGTATTTTTTTTCTTTTTACAAATTATAATAGTTGTGTGTATATATATATATATATATATATATATATATATATGTCGCTTTAACCCCTGTTTCACAACTCAACTTTGAATTCTATGTGTCGTTTTGCTCAGAAATGCTTCAGACTTGAGAATGGGAGGTTCTCCCGAAAGCTTGTCATTAAAAAATTCTGTTAGTCCAATAAAAAAGGTATTACAAGATAAGAATTTGATCTGTTTTTTACATCTATATATATAAATATTGTTTGGAATATCTGCTTTTATACATATATACAGCTGCGACTGGCCTTTCACTCCAGGGGGCCTGGCTGTCCTGCGGACCCCTGTGACTGGGTGCCCCACGCCATGTGTTGCCGCCCTGGCCGCGCAGTATAATTGCAGGGGCCGAAGGTGAACGGGCCCATTGGGTGGCCCATGCTGTTAGGGCCACCTGATGGAAATGAATATCATCATCAGAGTGGGCCCGGTAACAGCGCTACCAGGCCCCCTCTGATAATGTCAGACGCTGGGAGGAACTCTGACTCCCATCAACCTGAGCCACTGGACCCCAGGGAAGTCACCCTCCTGCACCTAAACGGTAGGTAATAGGAGGGATGGGGGGACCCCATGGATTGTGTGTACGCCAGTGCATATATATATATATATATATATTTTTTTTTTTGTATTCTTTATTTTTGTAATGCTTAGTTTAAGATACAAGCAGTAAGACAGCAGTAAGAGCAGTAAGAGTTTTTATATTGTAAAGTAGTTCCAGTTCCAGTGAGAGCACTCAGGTTGTTGCAGATTGCTGATTGTTGCTGGTGGGGACAGGAATATCTCCCCCCAAGCCTAAAGGGGGGGGGGGGGGGGGAAACAAGGCCAGGTCAGCCGTGTCGTTGGAGAGCGGGAAATCAGCCGCTTTTCCCGCCTCGTCCAAAGGAGCAGGCCTCAGGCATTTCTGGCAGCAGTCTCTCTTAGCTTGTACCAAATGGTTCAATCAGGACCAAGAGGAAGTTGTCCCCGTGCTACAGAAGGGCAGAGGATGAGGATACCCCCTACCACACCTATAACTTGAAGAATTGTTATGCTACTGAAGAATTGCTCTTACACTTGATCCATAGCGGGGATTATTCCGCCATAGCATACACTGGAGCTGTATTGATGTCCAGGTGAAAGTGTGAGTGCATATCTTTTATTTTACTTATCAACACTACAGTTTTAAATACTATACTATTATTCCTTCTCTGGTTCTCTTCACATATACCTTGTCAAGGATAACTGAAGCTGCCGTAACACCACTTACCTATATTCTGTTTTTAGGTTTGAGAATATATTTTCTGTTTTTAAAGTAATAAGTGATACTATGTCTGGTGGCACTTTAAAGATAAGTTGTAATAGTGTATTTTCTAATTAACTTGTAAGTGGGAGGGTTTTAACCCAAATCCTGTATGAGCACCACTAGACAGAGAAAGCCCCCGTATAAGGCTTAAACGCAGAAGTCATGTGTGGTGTGCTATTTTAAGCTTGCTTGGAGCTTAGATCGCATTTCGACATAGGCCATCTTTCCACATAGGCAACTTCTGGGCCCCACAAGCTAGGGGCCCCACAGCATTGCTTTTCCATGTGTAGAGGCTTACAGGGAAGATCCATTGATCTCCCCTGCTGGCCAATAGAGAGCCAGCCCTCCTTACTCTGCTTTAGGACCTCTAGGGGTGAGAAAATCAAGGCCCTTCGTTTGTGACAGGGAGGGAGTGACGGATAGTTCCTCCCGCTGAAGCTTTGATGGGAGCTTTGCCACACGCTGACGCTATTTGCCACGCTGCATGACGCTATATATATATATATTATATATATAAATATATTTTAATTATTTTTACACATGTTTATTTTATTTTTTCATTTCCCACAGCAGGGGGACTGTCTGTCAGATCCACAGCTAATTATAGGCCATGTGATCGCTTCTTCAGAGTTTATCACATACACACTCTGGGCCCATTTGCCGGAGGTCGTAAGCAGCCCTCCAGAAGAGGACGCAGGGAGGTAAGTAGTTGCAGTAGAAAAGTTACTGCTGTTTATGTCAAACGGCTTTAAAGCCCTTTAAAGTCGCTAGACGCATAGAACGCTGTAACGCATGCTTAGGGTTAAAACTACAATAAATGTGTAGAATTCAGTCTGTGTAAATAAAATACATTGTTCTTGTTCTAAATTACATTTTAGAGCATAAATTATTAGTAAGTCAAAAATTTTTTCCCTCAGCCACATCTTTGTCACCTCCTAAAATTAAAGTGTCTCTTGTCCATTTGAAATGTTGGAAGTGAAAGAATGGGTGGAATAGATGGAGAGAATATAAGGAGTAATAGGAGGAGTTATAGAGAGAGTTTACATGGAGTAATAGGAGGAGTTATAGAGAGAGATTACATGGAGTAATAGGAGGAGTTATAGAGAGAGGTTATATGGAGTGGTGGGAGGAGTTATAGGGAGAGGTTATATGGAGTAATAGGAGGGGTTATAGAGAGAAGTTATATTGAGTAATAGGAGGAGTTATAGAGAGAGGTTATATGGAGTGGTGGGAGGAGTTATAGGGAGAGGTTACATGGAGTAATAGGAGGAGTTATAGAGAGAGTTTACATGGAGTAATAGGAGGAGTTATAGAGAGAGATTACATGGAGTAATAGGAGGAGTTATAGAGAGAGGTTATATGGAGTGGTGGGAGGAGTTATAGGGAGAGGTTATATGGAGTAATAGGAGGGGTTATAGAGAGAGATTACATGGAGTAATAGGAGGAGTTATAATGAGAGATTATATGGAGTAATAGGAGGAGTTATAGAGAGAGGTTATATAGTCTCTCTTTGTCCATTTGAAATGTTGGAAGTGAAAGAATGGGTGGAATAGATGGAGAGAATATAAGGAGTAATAGGAGGAGTTATAGAGAGAGTTTACATGGAGTAATAGGAGGAGTTATAGAGAGAGATTACATGGAGTAATAGGAGGAGTTATAGAGAGAGGTTATATGGAGTGGTGGGAGGAGTTATAGGGAGAGGTTATATGGAGTAATAGGAGGGGTTATAGAGAGAAGTTATATTGAGTAATAGGAGGAGTTATAGAGAGAGGTTATATGGAGTGGTGGGAGGAGTTATAGGGAGAGGTTACATGGAGTAATAGGAGGAGTTATAGAGAGAGATTACATGGAGTAATAGGAGGAGTTATAATGAGAGATTATATGGAGTAATAGGAGGAGTTATAGAGAGAGGTTATATAGACTAATAGGAGGAGTTATAGAGAGAGGTTATATGGAGTAATAGGAGGAGTTATAGAGAGAGGTTATATGGAGTAATCGGAGGACTTATAGAGAGCGGTTATATGGAGTAATCGGAGGACTTATAGAGAGAGGTTATATGGAGTATTAGGAGGAGGTATAGAGAGAGGTTATATGGAGTAATAGGAGGAGGTATAGAGAGAGGTTATATGGAGTAACAGGAGGAGTTATAGGGAGAGATTATATGGAGCAATAGGAGGAGTTATAGGGAGAGGTTATATGGAGTAATAGGAGGAGTTATAGGGAGAGGTTATATGGAGTAATAGGAGTTATACTGATAGGTTTTATAGACTAATAGGAGGAGCTTTAGGGAGAGGTTATATGGAGTAATAGGACGAGTTATAGAGAGATATTATATGGAGTAATAGGAGGAGTTATAGGGAAAAGGTATATGGAGTATTAATGTGTACTGATGGAGCAGGCTTTGTATTAGGGATACATCATATTCCTTACTTTCTATAAATAATGCCAAACTTTTCAACCACATTTGTAAAACACTGATTCTATGGTCCCTTACAGCATCTTCATGAAAGATAATGACCCCCCGCCCCTCTCATCCCAAACCATAGTAATCAAAACTGCAGAATTTTTAGAATGCTTATATATAATCTACACTTCCCACCTGGAATGCTATATATGTCTACATCCACCTGCCAAATGAGTCGCACTGGGCTCTTGTACATCCAAAACACACAACCCTGCCTAGAAACCTCAGGGTATTTATTCTATAGATTTATCCCCAATTCTCATAACACTTCATTTCTTCTATTCAGCATATTTGGTAATCATGCAGTTCTGCATCCAGTATATATATATATATATATATATATATATATATAAAACAATCCTAATATCTCTGTCTGTCACATGCAGCCTGTATAATGACTTAGTACACACATACAGTATATGTATATAGATTATACAGAATTCTTACCTGCACCAACAGCAGTGATAGAGCCCCGGCCAGCAGCATCCTGTCATTAAGTGATTAAGTAATTGCTTTGATATACAAAATAGAAAAATCCAAAAGTCAGAAGGTGACCGTGTTCCTCACAGGTACGAGACTCTTGTTAACCCATGAACCAAAAGATCCAACCAGCAGGGTCCAGCTGGGGGACGTAGTAAGGGTTAAACCGAGGGAATAGAGGAGACAAGGCTTTTGGCTGTGGACACAGGTTGGGAATAGTGCAGGTGTAATAGACACAGGATGGATATCAAACTGGAAGCTGGGGTATGGGGGGGCTGGATAGGATGGGATAAGGGGAAGGAACACGCCACAAGCCTGAGAGGTCAGTAGTCTTTTAACTCCTCTACAATTAGATTTTTCTTTTTCGTTTTTTCTGTTTTCTTTATAGATAACCTTCTTGTCTTCTCATAATTATTCCTGGCTTTTTTCCTTGCAGTCGATTTCACCTTCTCTTTTCCCCAATCTGTAAGTCACTGCTACTTGCCTATTTAAATTTTTTGTATTTTCTTCCGTGTGTATTTTTTAAGTCTTCTCCTTTTCCTGTCTCCTCTGTTTTTCCTCCGTTGACTAAATATCTCTTCCTCCTACCTCTTTTGCTACATTTCCCAGAATCTGGATCTCTCTTCTAAGATCACTTTTTCTCTGGTAGGTTTCATACATATCGCTCTACCTCTGCCTGTTCCCTCGTCTCCCCCTGCCCTCCTATCTCTTTCCTTCTCCTCCTCCTCCTCTGATTCTCTCCCTCCCTCGTTCTCTCCTCTCTCAAGGTGCAATTCCACAGTTTTTTCTTTTTTCTTTGTCAGCCGTCTCTTCTTCCTCAGTTTGACAGTACGGCTATTTATCCTCTCTTGTCTTGGAAGGAATGAAAATCTAGACAAAAAAATAAAGAAATAAATGAAAAAAAATTAAAACTAATCATTTCTCCCACTGTCCATCTGAGAAAACAGTGTTAGAGGAACTGATCACCCACCTAGGTATACAACCACGTCTCATAGAATCAGGTTGGGGCAATTGGTTGTCGGATAATTTATTTGGCTTCCTGTAAAATCCTTTAACTAACTCTTGATTACTCTACTATGCTTCTCTGCCACAGTTTATTTAATTTATCTCTATAACGTGATGGAATATTATCCAGACCTTGTCAAATTGTTAGATTAAAAATAAATCTGGTAATCCTTAAATCAGAGTCGGCGTATTGAACCAATTGAAAGGTTAGGCAAAAATGATCTAGGTGATTAGTAAATTGCCACTTAATCAATAAACTCAGCTGGAGAGCCTGCGAATATGCCAGTCTTTAACTTTTGCATCCGTATGGGGTAAATAAAGATCTGTATTGATCATACTATGGCATACAGTCTTTAAGGAGTTAATACAGGAGAGATATGGCTTCCAAGAGGTGCTTTAGCGAGCAATGCATAGGCACTTTAAGTAAATATAAGGGAAAAACAGAAATTGCTGCTTAAGCATGCAAAAGCAGTCTATTGCTTTGAAAGGTAATTCGTCAATATAATATTTCTTGTCTTATTTTTTTTTTTTTTTTCGTTTGATAGGATTAGAAAGACCATAAATGCAGGAGAAATTAATGGATATTGCATATTTATTTTTTACATGATCCGTTGAGCTATATGATGTTATAATGATAGCTCTTTTCTACCTAAGTGGCAATACAACACCTATCATTAGATGATTGATAGGTATGATATTGCTCAACTTAATAGCACTTATTTTATTGACTGCAGAAGGATCAAAGGATGAGTTGATCCTGCCCCTAAATCAACTCGAACTGGATCTGTAGTGCAATTTAAAGATCTTGTTAAGTAAAGAGAAATGTACTAAAAGTGCAGTGGTCTCCATGGAGACCAATAGAATGTTTGTGCTGCTTGTTGCGATTTTAGAACTTTGGCCCCAAATGACTCTTCTTAGATAACCTGGTCAGTTTTACGATTCCTTCTTCCATTGCCTACTTGAAGCTAAGGAGTTAATCTGACAGTTGAAATATAGTCTGCTCTTGAAACCCACTTTGTCCTTGACTGTGTTGGTCCCCCCTGGGAATGGAGAGGTCAACAAGTCTTGCACACTCAGGATAACCTCCCAAGCCTCTGGGCAGCTTTAAATCAATTTCTCTGAGTGACTCCCCCTTCAGCAGCTCATTACAATAACAGCTGGATTTTACGTCCGAGATTTTATCAGATTTAAATATTATCCACTTCTGCCAATCTGACCACCCATTAGCCAATCATTCCATCTGTTACTATCTGTCCACCTGTGTCTATGCCCGTCTCTGTCCACTTGTCCATCCCTCACTCCGTCTATCCGTCTGTTGATCAATATGTCTGTCTGCCTGTTTATCCAACCTGTTCTCCAGTCATTTTTTCCAATCAGCCTTTTTTTTGTGGCTTTTTCTCTGCCCACTTTTCACTATTGATCTACCTATGGAACATAAATATTCCTGTTTCACTCAGGGATTGTGCTAAAACACTTACAAGTGAAATAAATGTGTGGTGCAAATATGGGTACCAATGTCACCAGAAATGTATGATGTGTGTGAGTTCAATGTTAGCAATCACTGCATGTGTGCCCTCAAACCACCAGATTGCTTCAATCTATCAATTTATTCAATCTATCAATTTATTTATTTCCAAAAACATGGGGTAAGTGGGCATTTTGCACATTCCCTGTCCAATACACTAAAAGTGTAGATAAATATAGAATAAAACAATATCAGGTTGCGCAATATATTAATGCGGAGTATCTCTGCTGTATTTAATTTCTTGTGTCCAGTTCCCTTTCCCATCTAGTTGTAATGTTATTTTGGACTGTCTAGCTGAGCATTATGGTAAATGAAGTCCAGGAACATTTTGGGAGCCTGGGTCATTTATCACTGTTCTAGACCTACAGGAATTAGAGATGTAGTTTGGACATTTCAGGCTAGTGGAGCATCTGATTGCCAGCTCAGAGAATATTTAAGATTAGCTCAAATCTGCAGGAAAAAATAAATAAATTATTAACGGATTACAGGGTTATCCCCCGTCTCTAGCTGTTTGCAGAATGGGGTTAATAAGGGCTGACTTCTGTGGTGGTCCACATGTCTGGATTAACCCCTGAGCTACTGGAGAGCTGCATACAAGAGCCTATTGTATGCGTTAAGGTCTCACCCTGTCGAAATCAGGAAGGTCCTGTTCTACGTTTGGTGAGAACCCCCGCAGCTCATCCGCAGGTCGTCAGCACATCTTTCGCAGCCTCTGGCTTCCCTGACAGACATTTCACAGCCACACGTCCCCGCACTGCAGAGGGACAGCAGCAGTGTGACAAAAATAGCAGGGACATCAGGTGTTTGCTCTCCCAACCAAAAAAAAAATGGGGCTACCCACTCACATAGGGGAATCCCTAACCTTCCTCCAATAATGAACATTGCTGTTCCCCTGTCCCCATGTCTTTGCTACTCTACAGCTGGCTTGATCCCAACTCCCCAGCCCTATCCCCCTCCCAGCGGCTGCTTTGCTCTTTCCACAATTTTCCCCCCTCCTCCTCTCCATTAATGCACCTTTTTTTCTTCTCTCTCTCTTTCTCTCTCCATATCTCCCCCCTGCACCTAACACCCCCTGTTTTCTCTGCATCTCTTCCTTCTTCTTTCCTCTCCCACACACTCTTTTTTTTTTGTATCTCTGCTACAGCATTTCTTCCATCAAACTGTTTAATTCTGCATATCTCACACTCAGTGCATCTTCTTTTATTTCACTCCACATTCACGCAGTAAAACTTAATTTGCTACCTTTTGCTTTTTTGTATTCCGAACCAATCACATCTGGAATCTTGGCACGGTCTTCTTCTGCATACATCTATTCTCCCACCCTGTCCGGGCGTCTCTCCCTTTCTATCTCTGTCCCCCACTGTCTCTACCTCTGCAATATCCTAACCCTGTGCACTGCAACCCCCTGACTGCTGGTTCCTCTCTCATTCCTTTCCTACACACATGTAGGAAGGGTCTGAAGGGTCTGAAGCTCATTCCTTCCTAGTTTGCTCTAATTGGATGATAAATGAATCTCACAGTCAATTTGTTTCTTATTTGTTTTGTACCGTTAAGATCCATGCTAGGTCCATTAAGGGTAAATTTATGTTCTTACAAGTTACAGTTTCCATGAGAACCACCTTTAGAAGCAACCATTCCCCCTTATCGGCCAATATCTGCGTAGACTTGAAATTAAAGAGTTAAAGATATTCAGGGTTCACTCATTAGGAATGTTCCCATAACGCCAACACAGGTATTTACAATTTCGCTTGTGTTAGTCGCTCTTCGAACATTCCATCCTATTTATTACCTATCGTTCTTTCTGCATGTTTTCCCATCACATCTTCATCCACCACTACCTCACCTCTTTTCCAAATTTAGCATAAAACAGTTACCGGAAAGAAAATTCACATTCGATAAGCTCCTTGACATTTTGCCTTCATTTTTCTAATTAGCGACTGTGCATTTTACCCTTTTATTTTAAGTGTTGTGGGAATTCTCCCTCCTGAATCAGCAGGTTTGTTTTTATTGCAAGTAAATGATCTTAAAAGGTTTTATTTTATGCAGATGGGATCAGTGCAAAGGAAATTAATTAACGTTATGAGATGTACACTGTACTTTGGTAGACAATATATAATACTGTTCATTTTTAGACTCCACACATTGATTACGTGACGTATGTACAGATCCTAATGCTAAGAAATTGAATTCAGAAAATATATTTTGTGCATTGAGTTTGACTATCATCATAGTAAATTCAAAGGTGATCAAACCGGAGTACATAATATAATACAATTAAAAGCAAAACAGGCTTTGCATTTACCATGCAGATAGAGAAATAACTATAATGATAAATTATATTAATTTTACTGAATCACAGACACATTTGAAATAAAGGACAATTAAATTGAACCTATCACACCCAATATATGTTGGTGACAAAGTTAACCTCAAATAAATATTTAAATATTGAGCTTGCAAAACCGGCAGCAAGTAAATTTATAGATTAAATAAAAAGTTTAATTCATGTTTCTTTAGAATCGAAAAAAGCTAAAGGGTATTCAGCGCTAAGCAATAATTGGAACAGTCCAAATGGCAGCTAAATCACCGGAGCCGGGGTCTCTTTACGCTTTTTTTTGTGGTGATTTTCCCAATATACTTCCCCACTGCCCAGTAAGAAATAACAGTGCCAAAATAATATACAAAGGTCGACATTGAGGGCATAAAACACTAGGTTATAGCCACAACACTAATGGATTTATTCATAGGGAACTTCAATGAAAATTACTCAATATTGGTTAAAACAGGCAAGCTGTTTTGAGTTGGATCATTTCTGTTCCTTTCTCTTAGTTAGGTGCACATGTAATGAACCATAGGTATTTGGACAGGGGCACACTTTGGGGTATTTGGGAATGCATGCACTGTAATTATGGGCAAAATGGTTAAAATTTTAGCAGAACTGCAGAAATAATAATTTAAAGGGACACTATAGTCACCAGAACAACTACAGCTTATTGTAGTTGGTCTGGTGAGTATAATAGCTCCCTTCAGGCCTTTTCATGTAAACACTGCCTTTTCAGAGTGTTTACTTTGCCCCTAGGGACACCTCCAAGTGGCCACTCCTTAGATGGCCACTGGAGGGGCTTCCTGGCTCAGGGCTGCACAGTAAGCAGCCCTGCCGTTTAGCGTCTCCACGCTCTGCATGGAGACGCTGAATTTTCCTCATAGAGAAGCATTGATTCAATGCATCTCTATGAGGAGGTCCTGTTTGGCCAAACGCCCCGTCCCCTATGGGAAAGCATTGGATTGGCTAAAAATTTTGATGATGTCACAAAGGGGGCAAAGCCAGTGCCGGCGGACCAGCGCGGCACTGGAAATAAGGTGAGTTTTATACTTTTAGAAGGAGACTTAGGGGGGGACAAGCCACCTATATGGTGGTATTAGCCCTATAGGGTCAGGAATACATGTTTGTGTTCCTGACCCTATAGTGATCCTTTAATACTAGCTGTATGCATAACTAAAGGAGCACTCCAGGCCGCATAACTACTATAGCCTGCTGTAGTGGTTATGTTGCCCAGAGTGCCCTGGTAATCTCCCAGGGTGAGTACATTTGTGAACAGTTTTATAACTTACTTGAGATCTTCCTGGAACTGGTCACCTTCTCCTGTGCCCATAGAAGCTGCAGAACTAAGGTAAGCCTGGTGTTGCATGACTTAACTCTTCAGCAATAAGCCAACCCTGCATGGCAGCGTTGAGCTCCTTGGAACTAGTGGAAGAAAATGAATACAGCAGTCTGTAGTGGTTATAGTGCTTGAAGCATTTAATTAATATACGTAGAGTTAAAAATGAATGCATCACATTATGGTCAGCCTTGGAATTCTTACTGGACTTGTTTAAAGATCTCTTGAACCTACCGCGGCTTATCCTGCAAACTGCGGCCTAGTTTATCCCTACGACAGAGTTGACATTGCAAAAAGAATGCGATAAACAATGCTGGATGGATGCCAGGGAGCCGCACACATTAATTCAGTCTGCGTACCATGCATACATACATAGTCTACAGAGCCCAAGCCAAGAAAGAACAGTAACAAGTCTCAGCTCAGGATAAAGGCTCTAATAGGAGAATATGAAGGGCACAACTCAAGAATCAGCTATGTATCCGTCTACATATGGATATAGCTACTTTGTAAATATTAATTATCATTTTATCTGGAGACCTTGAGTATCTGCTCAGTCTCTTTAAGATCTTGAGAATCAATGTTATTCAGCCTGAGACTCAGAGGATTCAATCTGTTTACTACAAAGATCTTCCCAAGTACTCAAAAACACTTAGAATTTGGCCATATACCCAAAGATCCTGAACGTTCGATCAGGCAAACATGACTTGGGGTAATAGAAATGACCCAATCTCTTGATGTCAGGTGCGTCAATCATCCTATGTCCCTTTAATCCTAACCCTACTTCACTCTGCACCTTGTTTTCACAGCACCGAGTACAACGTTCGCATCATTATAAATGTCGCTGTAATATAACTGTGCTTATTCCATACAGTAATATTATATAATGTTGGTTGATTTTTTGAAAGTCGACAATTTAATGTAAAAAAAAATAAAAAAAAATTCAAGACATTTTACGTTACATTTCTCAAAATAATACAGATATACGAACAATGTGTTGCAACTTTTAAATGACGACAACCTCTGAATAAAACCCCAACAATGATAATAAAGAATGGGAAAAATGCTTCACAAAAAAACGTTAATGTAACTTCTGGAATTCCAATACGGGCTAGAAATTCAATAAAACTGTATTTCACAGTTCAGCTGTTCCTGATAAAAATAGAAAATAATATATATAGAAAGAATAAAATAATAAAATCCTATTAGCGGGATATCTTTCAGTAACAGACGGACGCAGTACAGTGGATATTTTTCAGTCGTAGATATGCATATCAGTGACTCTAAGCAATAAACACAGTTCACAATATGTCTCTATAGACCTTTGAATGAGACTCAATCCAATCATGGCTCCTGCATGGTTCTTGCTGTTTAAAGCACCATAACCACTACTGCCTCTTGTAGTGGTTATGGTGCCAAGAGGGCCCTGTTACCTCTGCAGTGTAATTTGTCAAGCTGTTTTAGAATCATTGATAAATTACCACGGTTCCGCCAGGTACCTGTACCTACAGCCCTGCATCTGGATTCTTCTTGCAGGAGAATGTGATTAACTCTACTTAGTTAGGCAGAGCCATGGAGAGCGGCTCTCACTGGCATATCACGTAGTGCTCTTAGTCAATGAGCGCAGGTTTGTATCAGTTTCAGCTCAGGGAAGACATCTGAAATGAGAAGCTTGGTAAGTTGTTGAACCATTCTGAAATAGTTTGACAAATTACACTGGAGGGGCGCCATGCCACTCCTTATACCATAAAACTACAGCAGGATGTCGTGGTTATGGTACTTCGGAGTGTTCCTTTAAGCATTTATGGTCTATCCTTGCTTGTTATAAGTTCGGGAACTTCAGCAACTTCAAGACTTATAAAGAATTACAAGGGAAAAAAAAGGAATTAGACATTTTTAGGTAAAACAACTGAATTGGCCAACTCCGGCGAGCCCACGATAGGCCTAAAATGTGCCATTTCCTTGTCAGTTTTCCACAATTCCTGGTTTGCAACATAAATGCTTGTCTGATCTGGAATTTGAGTTGGACGGCTGGATGTCTTTTGTAATGTGACTGATATGTAATTTTGGATTTGTGTTGTAAATACTATTGTAGTATTTCTGGACAATTTCACCTTCCTAGATAACAACACAGTCGTGTGTTGTTGTAGAATGAAAATAACAATACCACTTCCAGTGCTTAAATGTTGGCAAAGCATCACGGTAGTTGTTTTAGAACAGCTGGTGGTCAGCCTTTTAAGTGACCCTTGTTATGAGACATAAACCACAATAATTGCCCAATAGCAGGTAAAATAGACCTTCTATCATTTGTCCACTCCAGGATACAAGCAACTGTTGCCATTCTTGAAAAAAAAGTATGTGACTAGTAGGGGGGTTTGAGAGAGAAATGGCAAATTTTAGGGTTTTTCTCTCCGAATTCTGAGTAGTTCTCCCAGTACATAACGACCAGTTTCTTTGCAACAATGAGTTGACAGTACTTGACTTTACCACCCTCAGCGCTCTCAGTCAAAGATTTCTCCCCAGAGTTAAATGGGCTAATGTGAGTATTCATTAACCTATTAGCCAACCCACACCCATGTACTCTGGATGTGCTAAAAACTGTGGGTAAGCACTTCCAAAGTGAAATATAGTTGCCGATAAAGTTGCATCACACTACTTAATAGATACCTGTGTGCTAAAAAAATGAGAAATTCATATTAAGAACTAATAAACCATAACGAGCAGTACCTATACATTTTCAAGAGAGTTATTAAATATAAGAAAAGGAAATTAATCTGATGGATCTTAATTCACAGCAAGGATGTATAATAGGGTACCTGCCAGAAAATATTCAATTCATATTTCAATTCCCTATTACTAATAATTGTTATAATAATAACAGCTTTTAATACTAGAGTAAGACATATATGTTGAGAATTGCATTTAAATCTAATAAGTACTAGAATCCCCTCGTATCACATTTGCAGGGCCGTCTTTAACGCGGGGCAAACGGGGCAGCTGCCCCGGGCCCAGTTGCTCCTGAGGGGCCCCAGAGCAGCTGCCTCGTGGGCCCCGCGATTTGAGCAGCTCCCCTTGGACCCGGTGGGGCGGCTGCACAGAGCCATACCAGCTGCAAGCTAAAGAGGGCCCCCGGGTGGCCCATGCACTAAGGGCCACCCGGTGGGCATGTGGCAGAAGGGACCCGGTCGGGCGCTGTGACACTTAAACAGCGCGACCGGGCCCCTTCCTGTTCGGCAGCCGGCTGGGAGGAAGTGAGGCCGCGCGTCACTTCCTCCCACCGGAGATCACAACCGCGTGGGAGGAGAAAGGCAGGGAGGAGGGGAGTTCCAGAGGAGAACTCCCATCTGCCTCAGCCTGCCACTGGACCAGGGAAACCACCCTCCAGAAAAAGGTAGGAAACTGGAGGGTGGCTAAATGTATGTCTGTGTGTGTCTCTGTCTGTCTGTGTGCATGTCAGTATGTGTGTATGTATGTCTGTGAGAGTCAGTATGTCTCTGTGTGTCTGCCTGTGTGTGTCACTAAGTCTGTGTGTGTGTCTATGTCTGTGTGTGTGTGTGTATGTGTCTATGTGTGTGTGTATGTCTGTGTATGTATGTGTATGTCTGTGTGTGTGTGTCAGTATGTCTGTGTGTGTCTGTATATGTCAGTATGCCTGTGTGTGTGTTTGTCAGTATGTCTGTGTGTGTCTGTATATGTCAGTATGCCTGTGTGTGTGTTTGTCAGTATGTCTGTGTGTGTGTCAGTATGTCTGTGTGTGTATCAGTATGTCTGTGTGTTTGTCAGTATGTCTGCCTGTGTGTCTGTGTCAGAATGCCTGTTTGTGTGTCTCAATAGGTCTGTCAGTGTATGCATCTGTGTGTGTCAGTATATTTGTCAGTTTATGTGTCTGTGTATTCATGAATGTGTGTCTGTGTGTATGTCTGAGTGTGTGTCAATATGTCTGCCAGTATATATTTGTGTGTCAGTGTATGTGTATGTCAGTATGTATCTGAGAATGTTTTAATATGTCTGTCTGTGTGCGTATGTGTCAGTATGTCTGTCAGTGTGATTGCGGGTTGGGTGTAATTAAGGGGTTGGGGGGTTAGGAGCAGGGCCCCGGGGGCCCAAGAAAATGCATTGCCCAGGGTCCTAATCATATTATAGACGGCCCTGCACATTTGTTACTGGTTTTGTACCCATTTTTCCTCCCTCTACTCTAGACATGTTTGATCTTTTTTTGCGTCTTTATACGGAGTTCAATAAACCTTGACTAATACATCCTAATGCATCCTTTGACGATATGTGTGTCATTGCTTCTCAAATTTAGTTAGTGGTTTACCGGCTAAGGTAACTCTTTATTCTTTAAAAAAAAAAAAAACATTTAATTATTTTAGTAATTCTATTTTGTGCTCCAGGACAGATATTCTTCAAATAAAAGGCAAAAGCTATAAAAAAAAAAAAAAATCCATTATAAAATCATGTTTTTTTGTGTTTTATATTTGTATGCTAGTGTCATGTACAGTAATTCTGTGTGACAGACAATTTAAGAACACTGTTTGTTCTTAAAATACAAACGTTTTATTGATCTTGAACAAATGCGTACATATATTTTGTCTCCTACAGGCGTACCCACTTCTCCCCTAAATGCCATGATGTTCTATTGAAAGAGAACTTGCATCTTCAGCCAGTTTAGAATATAAAGTAGACAATCTCATTATTCTCAGTGCTGAATAATAATTTAAAGGACAGTAGGCTTGGAGAATTGTATCATTATGAACTCCTATTTGTCCAATTGTGGGTAGATCGGGTAGTTGTATGGAAAACCCAATTTCCAAACCGCCAAAATGACTTGCGCAATGGACGAGTATGTGAACGAATGAAGTTAAAATCTATTTAATTAAATATTATATATTTAGCAAAATGTAATTTATAAATTTAGATAAATAAAGATGGATTTTTTTTTGACTGCTATTGCTTACTTTTTCTCACTTGACCTCTGATACGAATGGTGGAAAAATGCTCTCATCAGTGTTCTTCAAAATATACATATAATATTTACATAGAGTAGATATAAAAAAATATAAAAAAGAAAACAAAACATTAAAAATGTTATCTGCACTCTTGTACTTCTTAAGAAAGTTTTTCTTTATTTTGCCAAAAACATTAGACAACATTTCAGTTCCTAACTCTGAACTTTCCTCAGGCTTGTCTGATTTGATTTCTGCAACTCTTTTTTCGTTAATAATGTTTGGCCGAGCCGAACTGCCATCAATTCGTCAGTCCCGTTTTTTTCTTTTTAGTTACAGAAGAAGTGGTTCAGCGGAAACAGGTGCCGTGTGCACGTCTAATAGACAGTGCAGTGGCGGAACTACCGCGGTCACAGGGGTTGCAGCTGTGATCCCACCACTCCAGGGGCTAACTACTGCAGCCCCGGTCCGCGCGGTGTAACCCGTCGAGTGGCCCATCCTGTTTGAGCCACCCGATGCTATGTATTTCCAGGGACCCCGGTCAGGGCTTTAACAACGTGATCGGGCCCCCTCTGATGATGTCAGGTTGCGCTGGAACTAAGTGACTTCCTCCCATCAACCACCGGGAGCCGCGCGGGAGGAAGGAGAGAAGGGAGTCAGAGTGAAATCTCTGACTCCCATCAGGCTGAGCCACTGAACCCCAGGGAAAGGTATGTGTGTGTGTCTGTGTGTATGTATGTCTCTGTGTGTGTGTGTATATGTCTGTCTGTATGTGTGTATGTGTGTGTATGTCTTTCTGTGTGTCTGTCTGTATGTGTGTATGTCTGTGTGTCAATATGTCTGTCTGTGTTTCTGTGTGTATGTGTGTCTGTCTGTGTGTCTGTATGTATGTGTATGTCTGTGTGTCTCTGTATATGTGTGTGTTTCTATGTGTGTGTCTGCATGTGTATCTGTTTGCATGTGTGGGGGGAGGGGGAACATATGGGAGGGGGATGTCCAGGCCAATTTGCGCACCGGGGCCCCATGGTTTCTAGTTATGCCTCTGAGACAGTGGTATGGTATGAGTTGCAGTACATGCATCCTAATGCTTTAAAGATTTTTTTCAGACTTCTCAGTTATGGGTTAAATTATGCAACTTGCAGGCTTCGTCAAGAAACCAGACTTACTCCATGATCATATAATTTGACAAAACCTTATTTTATCATTCAAAAAGGCAATGGAGGGTGGAAGTGTTAACATTGGATATTGGCGTTAAATCAAGGAGGTTCTGTAGAATGCCCCAAAAAAACACATTTTATTATATGTAATATTAATTTAAAGTGATTTCTTTTTCCCATATGTCCTATGGAGAAACATTATGTATGATGTTCTAGTGGCCCAGATAAGTGAACATAATGTATTTTCCACTTGTTTATGTATTAACACAGAAACACCTGTGCGCATGCATCAAGCTAACAGAATATCTGGGTCACTGTGTTTATGATACTATTTACTTGAACTATATTCATCTTCAACCCATCCATTTTATGTAGAAGTGTTTTAAAAAGATGTATCATTATATATATGTTTCTATTGCAATACAGTGCGTAACAGTGCACTTTAACAACCATAACCACAACATTTGAGATTTGCACTTACCTGAGTTCCCCAGCTGGTTGTGGTCCGTCGTGAATTCTGTGATATTGTTAATGCTAAAACTTTCATTCCACTGATGTCACAGAAGACCAGAAGGACCGTAGGTGCCCTGGGGACCCAGGTAAGTGTCAAACTGGCCAAAAACAGTTTGACTAATTACTGTGTTACTAATACAGCTTGCTGTTGTAGTTATAGTGTTTTTAGCGCCGCTTTCAATTTGATATACTAGTAGGTTTATTCATTTAAGTATTAACTATTGTGAATTTTAGGTAAATTGAAAATGCTATTTCAAAATTGCCAGACAGAAAATATAGCTGCCTTGGGAAATATTTCTACATTTGGTGATTCTGGCCCAATATTTGTAATTCACTTTGAAACACTTTCAATTAAATACAATTTACACTTCGCTTTAGTGAATAATCCCAATATTCTTAATTTGAAATGTTATAAAGCAGTTCTGGGCATTTCTACCAAACTGTTTAAGAAACTGTTTCTCTTTAAGTTAAGTTTTCACTCCACTGGAAAAAAAATAGACATTTTCTTGTAGCTAAGCTAACTCAATTGCTGGGAGTCCTATGGGTAGAAATTCAGATTTCGCATGATTTACTCTGAGACAGTAGAGGGTCCCAAAGGTGTTGAGAATCAGAATTAGACATGCTAGACTGACATACATTTTGGAAATGGTCACTACGATGCGGTCTGCATAGAAAATGATCTCATAATGTTCCCATCATGGGGAATATCCTTTAATACCTCCTTGTTCTAAAATCTTCTTTTCTGGGGATTAACGCACATATAAAAATAGATTTGAGTGGATTTGCAATGTTCATATTGATGTATTTGCGTAAGCAGTGTGTTTCGGTACTGCAGTATGGGTTCTGTTGCATGTTAGAGGGAATGAACGGGATAAAAATAACTCCATATATTTAATTTATTGTATAAATAATAACCTAAATATAATAGAAAAAAAATTAAATTAAATTAAAGAATTTAAATAAATTTAGGATTACTCCATTAATCACAACTATTACAGCCTGCTTTAGTAGTTATGATGTCGAGAGTAGTTTGGCTTGGTTTCCCGTTAAAGGGGCAAACCACTTAACAATGGTTTGCCTCCCCTGCCTGGTCCTTGCCGGGCTCTTAGACTCACTAGTGGCCCAGTGATGCGCTTCACGGCTGTCGACATTCATTGGCCGAGAACATCAGTTGACCGCACAGAATTGACATTAGCCAGCCTGGAATTCTAGTTCTGGTCTGGCGGATGACACACTGTGGAACTGCCGAAGGTGGTCTTACTTGCAAAAATGTTTGACCTTTCGAAGGGACACTCAAGGTAGTAGTTTCAACTTTTTACAATCATCTGTACCACTCCATGTTCCCCTACCATTATTGACCCTCAGACAGGCATAGACAGTTGTCCAGCCCCTGCAGGTCTTCATTATTGGTGCTGCCATCTTAGCTTTCTAAGATGGTGGCATCAGCACACATGCGACTTCCACTGACCCCCATGTTGACTTTGGTGATCGCGCAAGAGTCAACACTCAGAATCTGTGACACATCATTGGAGGGAGTTGAGTATACACAAAGCTAATGACAAAGTTGATAAAGGCAGTGAAACTTGACTAAAGCACCACTCTTTGCCAATTTTTGTCATCCTGCAGGTTATAGTCCCTACTTTTTCTTATGTATAACTTGGCAAAAAAGGGTCTACTAAAATAAAATTTAAAAATTGAGGTAGACAAGGGAGAATTTAGGACATGCCTAATTAAAAATTTAAAAAAAAATAGGTGACATGTATTTTATATTTGAAGAAGTGACATGCATCACTTGACTATTATTAAAAAAAACAAACAAAAAAAACCAGAAGCAAACACTTATAAACAAATATACAAACAAAATAAAGCAAGAAAAATATCTAATATACGTTAATAAACTGGGTCAGATTGCATTATTGGACACGCCTCTCAGCTAGGGGAGTTTCTTCAGCCTCTCCCCCCATCCCTCTTACTCACCAAGCTCAGATGGAGACCAGACCACTTACGACAGAAACGGGGCTTTGTTATGCGGCAGCAGGAGTAAAAAACCCTACACTGGAGCCCTCTCAGGCACGCCCAATGCACTTTTCCAGAATTCCTAGGGATAGGACATGGATTGGTTTATTCAGTGTCCCACTTGGAGTATTGTAGACTAAAGCTAAAGCTTTTAAATGACAGTTGTCTTAAAGTGATGCATGTCCATTTAATGCATTTGATAGGCTTAGGCTTCATTAATATGTATGTCTTTTATAGGCTTAGGCTTCATTAATATGTATGTCATATTAGCCCAAAATACTGCATATTAACCCCTTAAGGATGGTGGGTGATCTATGCCATCCTTCTTTATGAGGCCCTAAACGCCGGCGGGCAGCATAGATCCTGGGTTCTGCCTTTGAGCTCAGGCAGATCCCCTCTGCTTGATCCGCCCCCCCCCTCCACCGGCCATGTGATCTCAGGGTCCTCGCGATCACATGGCCGGAATAGCCGGCTTATGCATATATATATATAATCTAAGTACTTTTATATACACATAAACACATCATTAATAAAAAAAAGTGTATTTAATATTAATATATATATATATATAAAATTATCAATATATCAATATTAAAATACACTTATAATGACATTAAATATTTATATATATATATATATATAAAATAAAATTAATATATAAATTTAAAAAAATTATATGCCAGTTTTAATTTGTTCTAACTGTATTTTGATATTATTATACATATATATATATATTAAATTCAAAATACATTTAGAATGACATTATAACTACATATACGTATCTATATCTATCTATATATATATATATATATATATATATAAATAAAAACATATTTTTTTTAGATTTTTGCATTTTTCACACACAAACAAATATGAACGCTAATTTTGGCCAGTATTTGTGACTAAGTGGCTACTAAGAAAGACTGGACATACCCTATTTGTAATACCTTGGGTTGTCTACTTTTACAAATGGTATGCCATCATCGTGGTAATACTCATTCCTGGGCTACCATACGGTCTCAAAGGCAACGTAACCAATCTGTTGAATTTCAATGTGAGAAAACTGAAAAATTTAACATGCTGTATTTCACCCTGT